TAACTTTTTGCTCTTTTATCTAACTATCTGACCCTTTGGTATGTTTGGGTATCATATCCATTTTTGTGTTGTTTTGGCGTCCTGATTTCGTTGCCATATTGGATGTATTAGCGTTTTTATGTTTAGCTCATTTAAAGTGATGTTTTGTTACTGCTTTATTGGCCAACTTATTTTCCATTCTGTGCCTGCTAAATTTTTAGGTTATGTTCGACTGATATTTAGTACCATGTCTTCGGTCACAATTTGGTATGTAAAAACAGACCTCAGAATAGTTGCTAATTGCAGTAATGCTAATGTCCTCCGTTTTTTGCTTTTTAATTTGTTTTTATTTTTTTTTTTTTCATTTTTTTATTTTTTTTATTTTTTTTTTATTTTAATTTTTTTAAAATTTTTTATTTTTTTTTTCCGTTTTTTTGATTTTGTTTTACTTTCTTCTTAACTTTTTTAATAATTTTATTTTATTTTATACTCTGTTAAGTTATTTTTCATTGGTTTTTATTTGTTTTTTAATTTTTTTATTTAGGTTTTCATTTTATTTTCTCCTTTTTTTAATAATTTTAATTTTGATTTTTGTTTTACAATATTTTATTTTGGTTTTATTTGTGGTCAATTTTTTTTTTACCCTTGTTTGTTATTTTTTAATTTTGTTTTTTATTTGTTTATTTTTTTCTTAATTAGTTTTTATTTTTTTAATTAGTTTTTATTTTATTTTTTTAATTTGTTTCTTTTATTTTGTTATTTAACAAAAATATTTTAATTTTTTTCTTTTCTCTCTTTTAGTGTTATTTTTTTAGATCTTTCTTTTTAATCCTTTTTTTAATTTTATATTTTTTTTATTGATTATAAACGTTGTAGAGTAAAAATTTTTCTGTTAATCAGCTGTTAGTAGAAATAAGTAAAAAGTTTAAATAAATTCTATTTTTTGTAATTATAGTATAGATAATTCATTTTTTTTTTTGGGTTGTTACTCATTTCCTATGTCTGATAAAACCTCTGCCCAAACCTAATGCCTAAAATATACTGTTTGTTTTTATATTTTTTATTATAATAACATTAAATTCGAATAATTGTTTTTATTTTTTTATTATAATAACAATAAATTAACAAAATGTACACTACAAAACTTCAATAAAATAAGCTTTTATATTTTTTCTGTAATGCAAATACTAACGTGGATAGTGATCACATCAAAGGATAGTTACATTGAAATTTCACATTGTATCATTGCATCAGCTTTGATTAAATTATCCCAAAATTCGTCTAATAAATTAATTTATCATTAATATGTAAATCAATATATGACTAATACCATTTTTTGAAAATTCGTAAAGAAGTGAAGTTTTATTGTTTGCTGCTACTATTACTTTAGAGATTCACTTTATTTTTTTAAAAAATATATATGTCTTCTAATCGAAAGGAAGTAATTAAGTTAAATAAATTACTTTAGAAATTAATATTTCGAATACTTTCTTGAACAAATCATTTTCAGCTCTGGTAAAACCAAACATGGACGAAACTGAACTTTTTTGCGTCATCTGCCAAAACAAAGTTGTCGACATGGTTCAACTGAATTGTGGTCATGATTTTTGCAATATATGTTTGAAGAACTTGGTTTCGTATGCCAATAAAAAAAAGAGAGGCAGATATCGTTGTCCATTGTGTAAAAAAGACTTCATAGAGACTAAAGTAATAATTTGAGTTTTATAATTTATTTAACGACTACTAATACATATATATATATAGGACGGTTACTTGACAGTAGAAGAATCCGCTTATTATTCCACTGAATCTGATACTGATACGGATAATGAATTAGTAGAAATGGTCTTCGATATTGATTGCGAGTTGGTTACAGACACAGAGATGAATATGGATGATGATAACAAGGTAAATGAATCGGATTCTTCCACTAATTCGGATTCTGGCACTGAATCGGATTCTTCCACCGAATCGGCTACTGACATAGAAAAGGGATTGCATATTGCTATCACCATTTCTAGTAAGCAGTTGCCTACAGACACGGATATGGCTGATTATGATGATAAAAATGAATGATGAAAAGATATATATGTTGATTTGATAAATGTTTAATTTGCTAGTTAATTTGCAATAAATATTTTCTTTAAGAATCATAAATTCTATATTAGAATTTTTTATAACATATTAATTCTTTATAAGTGCATGCATATTTATAATATAAATAATTTACTAATACAATGATAGGTAAGTGTGGGCATTTTTTTCTTTACTTAAAATTAGTCCAGGCTTTTGATGCCCGTTGCAATAATATTCAAAGTTCAAAGTAACAAAGTTCTTAATTTTTCTTTCTTCATATATAAATTATCTGAAGCATTAAAATATATAAGTAGTATTCTGAGTTGCACTGAATTAGTGTAAATGTGTAACACAAGACTTTGAAACATAGGCTCTGCTTTCTTACAACTGGAAAGCATTTTTAGAAGTGGTGAGCCGCTTTTGGAGCCGTATAGAGTGAGTCCATTAAGTTGTTATTGTATTGTTCAATAACACGTTAAAACTTTATAAATCCGATTTCGTGAAAATTACGGTTAATCGGGAGTTAATTAAAATTGTTAACCTGAAATATTGAGACATTAATACGGTAATCATTAGAAATCTAGGAAAAGCCCTAATATATATTTATTTTTATTTTATTTATTTTATATTTATTTTAACAACAAATAAAGAATAATTGACAATAATCTATTGTTTATTAAATTAGTCCATAAATTAAATAACATAAAGAAAAATAAATTATATAACATAAATATAGCAAACTATATATATAATATTATGTATATGTCATTATAATATATACAATTATTAATAACGTGTGATCTGGATTAGGGAATAAATGCTTAATCCGAATTACAAGGACACGTAAAGAATATTTTGAATTTACTAAGTTTATCCTAAGATACCTATTATCAGAAATCGACTAAATATTATTTTTACATTTTTGCTATCTTGTAGGATAGTATTATATTGAAACTTATCGAGTTTTATTGTATATTCTATAAATTGTGCTTAAGGTCTGTTCTGAAAGGTCTCGCATTTTTTATTATTACACTAAGAGACTGACACTAAGAGACTGATACTAAGAGATTAGTTAAGGCTGAAACAGATTAGAATAATCATTATAAGTCCTAAGATCTTTAAGAGCGTTTTCTAATGTTTTTACAAATATTTTGACAAATAATGCACTCTCTTCTGAATACATTTAAAGGCGAATTCAACACTTGGTACTTCCAGTTTAAAAAAAAAATATTTTTTTCCCCAATAATTAAATATAAGAAATAATTCCAAGACCACTGATGATGGGTATTTGGCAATACTCGAAACAACTGCATGATCAGCCAATAATTCAATTAATTAAAATTAAATAAAAAATCTTTGTTGTTGCAATTCACTACTGTTCAAAACCTCTCTAACAAATACTATAGTTTCTATTAAGTAAAGTAATCACTACCATTACAACAGACGTAAAATTACAATTAAATAGAAATTGAATAATGTGTGTTTTATGGACCAGCAAAATGAGGTCCAATATATTTTACCATTCTTTTGGAAATCGCACAGTGTTTATCATTGATCCAAATAATTATTGACATTCTTGTGTAAAGTTAAGGTTTAGCTGTCTAATGATAATATGAAAGTATGAAGATAAGAAAAATTTTAGGATAGTGTCTGAACTATAATCCTTACAGAAACAGTTAAATTTAATTTAAATTTAATAAAAATGAATAAGAATAACGAGTAAATAAATAATGATATAAAAAAAAGCAGGCATTAATAAAATGACAACCATTAAAAAAAATCATAATTTTGAAATCATAATTTTACATTTATGAAAGCATTCTGAAGCCACTGTTCATGAGTGTCCATGAATGCGTCAAATTACTGAGACATCCTCATATGTAGTCATATCCTTTATTTTTGTTTAGTGCTTACTGTATATTTTGGGAACACATTTTGATATTGCTTTTGATACGTGAAGGTACTTTAAACTATGGGTTCCATATGAACTCACAAGTCATGAGGCACTGGTACACATCACACCTCACCACACAACGACATGTGTTTACTCATGTCTCACAGTTTCGACAATTTTTAAATGCATTTAATTTTTCCGTATGTATAGCATTTCGCAATTTACCATTATCCTCAAATCCTAGTGAGTATGTGGATTTGTTAAATTAAAATGGAATTTATTCCAGTGTCATTTACCGGGTTATATGTAATTGCGGATTTGGTGTAATGTGAAGTAAGTATTCGTAATGGCGATGATGTCGTTTAGGTCGGTCGGCCGGTCGGTTGGTGTGATTGCAGAAATGCTGACTGACAGCAATGAAAATTTTGACACCAAATATTTTAATTAAAAGTAAATCCAAGTTTGTATTTTTAGGTTGTCTTTGCATTAATATAAACATTTTAAAATGTTCAGCTTTTTAATATTTTGCTTTCATTTTAATTTCAAATAAAAAATTCAAAAATAAATTTGTTACTAAATAAAAAAAGAATACTTAGTAATAAAAGTGAGAACCATAAGTACCACTGTACAGGGTGTTTCCAGAATACCTACATAAGTTTCAAAAAAATATACTGAGTCTAGATAGTTTAGGTACTGAATGATTTGGTAGTGGATATACTAAGGCTAAATTGTTCCGTTACGATGGAGAAAGAACCCAGTATTTGTTAAATATTGGGATCATGTTCAAAAGGTAAAATTTTAGAGATTTCGTCAATATAATAAATTGTATTAGCGTTGGTAAAAAAACTCCAGAGAAATAGGAACCTTTATGATTTGGTAGTCGACATACTTAAGCTAAATTGGCCTGTTAAGATGATACTTAAACCCAGTTACTCCTTGAATATGGGGAGTTTGTATAAGGGATAAGAATATTAACCCTTTTTGAAATATTTTGTCAACATTACAATAATATATACAACAATAAGAGAATAATAAATAATTAATAACAATAAAACAATAATATAAAGTCACGCTGGTGATATCATGTCTTTACTGCAGCTAGAAATACTGCCGTTAATGAAATTAAGATTTGAATGTTTCCATTGGCATAGGCTGATTTATGCATGTGAAATAGCTTGTTTGTTAACATTTAACATATAAAACATGACAAATATTTTAAATTTTGATCGTATGCCTTAAAGAAAATTTATTCTAAAGGATTGTATTCGACTTTTTTCGCCTTAAAAAGGCTTGATTTATTTATAATTAGCTCATTTATATGGAAGTCATACAAATGGTAAAACCATTTACTATTAACATGGTAAATTGTACTCATGAGTAAAACTGCCTAAATGACACAGTGGACACATGGTAATAAATATGAGACATCCATCAGTTGGTAATCACATACTACTGATGTCATTATTATTTTGTTGAAAGGTGGACATAAACAAAGAAGGTGATTAAAATCATCGTTCTTTTGGCCGATGGATACCTATTAAAGGTTTTTCAAACATATCCTTAAATTCTATGAACAATGAATATAATCGAACCAAAATTAAGTACACACAATCAAGAGCAGGTAAGTTTTTATTTCACTAGTAAAGATTTTAATGAAAAATATAATTTTTTATAGATATCTTAAAAACAGAAGTGATTTGGTATACATCAAAGTTGACGATAATGCAGTACAATAATTTTGTGTCATTGATGATTTAAGGATGTATTTGATATATTCTCTATAATATATAAAAAATTATAAAAATAGTTTTATAAACAATCATGGAGAAATTGACACTAGTTTCGATTTACAATGGTCAGCAGTATCGACGCTTATGGAATTTGAAGTTACTAACAGTCACGATTATTGGAAACATTATGTCAAGGTAGTAGTACCAGATTTGAATAATATTATTTTATATGATTGGATACCTATAGATTGAAAGTAATTCAAATTATTAACTTTAAAAGATTATTAATTAGTTTCATCACAGATAATCTATTACTTTGGTTATCAATTTTGAAAGTAACATTATTTCTTTCAAGTTAAAATATTAAAATATATATTAAATTATACATGTGTATTTTATGGGAATAATTTTGCTAATTTCTGACTATTTATTTTTATATGATCTTTGTTTATAATTGGTATTATAGTCTAGAACTCAGTAGTGTTTCGAATGGAAACATTCCTTTAATTTAAAATTCCGGAGTTCTATATATCAAGTAGTTGTTTTGTATAGTTCTATTTTAAGATCAATATTAAGTTTCCAAAAAGAAAAAAGAATAAATATAGTCTATATATCATATGCAAGGCTATGCCCTACTCAGTCATATAAAGAAATTACAATGATCGATATTTTCGATATTCTAGTTGCTCCAAAATCTGCAGTGCAACTTTTTTACAATCAAAATTAGTTGAACATGGAATTTGTCAGGTATTATTAATTCACCAAAATTATTTGTTAATATCTATAAATTTAAAGATAGCTCTGCATTATTCCATTTGCGATACCAGTTTACGAAGAGAACGGTCAGTAATTGCTAACATGGAACAATTTGAAGTTTGGTTTTACCGTGTGGTGATCTTGTTAACTTTGGAACATTGATGACTAGACACTCTGATGGCAAGGTGTTAGTAGCGGCAAAGGGCCATCTTCTTTTTTTTTTAGTATCGAACCTGGAGGCAAAGCCTTCTAAAGTAATAGATGGCTCGTACCATTTGTATGCCCGATTCATACACGACTCATTGAGTCATAGGTACATGCCTACGAACTAAAAATTCCCCACATTCTTAGCTCAAAATCCTGGAGATCTCTGGCAGTACGACCAGTTAGGGTATTCCTTCACAGGTGAGAAAAGCAATTAGTGTGCTTTTACTCTGATTGCATACTAAGTACTTCGTCCGCTTTAACAATGTTTATTGTTCTAGAGATTATGTACTTGTAAAGTTTCCACTCTTCAGTGCCTGCCAACTTCTGCTTTACTATAGAGAAAGGGCTGGCTGACCCGTTTGGTGTCTTTATATTTTGAAGAAGAAAGTTATATCCAAACATTTACTTTAAAGTGGTACCAGAACTATTTT